GACTAAGACACTCATTACATAAAACTTCTCCATTTGGAGTGCCTACTGTACATTTAAAACGGAGTTTGGGGCAGTGAATCCAGGGAGAGTGAAAGAGACACACAAACACACAGCCAAACAGCAGAACACCGACTAACGGACACATGGACACATCGAAAAGGCCAGACAACAACAACAACAACAACAACAGCGTCGACGACGTCTTTTTGGCGCGTGACGTCGAATCTGGATCGGAACTGAACGTTGAAACGCTGAACGTTGAACGACGCGTCGTCGTTCCAATGGCAGATGGCAAATTGCATTATTATGCGAGTGTCTGCAATCTGCACAACCAAAGCAACAAAAACAATAGCGAGACACACACACAACATACACAGAGCGGCGAATACTGCTACAAAAGCAGAGATAGCACAAAAACAAAAGTGCAACAAAATACGCAAAAACAAACATACAAACGGGATTTTGGACGCTGCTGCTGCTACATCATCGGAACTTTTCGGTTTTCCGATTAGAAAGGGGGGGTCGGCGGCGGGTGGGCGTGGTTGGTGGGTGGCTATGGGTCATTCGCAGGGATTACATTCCGTTTTGTTCAAAAATTAATAGAATTTCATAAGCTTTTTCAGCTATTGCGTCTCTCTCGCTGTCCCGCTCTTTTGGCCTGCTCTCATGCTCTCTCCCTGTGTCCATCTCTTTTGCTCGTTGCAGTACTTTCTCTATCCCTCTCCTACTCTCGTTCTGGTTTATATTCTGACTCACTCTTTCAAATGTTAATTTGAATTTTTATTAGGTTTTAGGCATGCATTGTTGTTGCTGCCTCCGATCCCCCCGCCTTCACTGCTACTGCCACCGTTGTTGTCATGCATTTTATTTTCACTTAAAACTGCAATTGTTCGGAGGCATCATTTTTGTTGTTTCGGAAGGGGGACTGCTGCTGCAGTTGCCGTCGTTGCCTCTGCCAGCTTCGACGTCGCTGCTGCTGTCATCGTCGAAAGTGCGACTGCGTTAGAAAATTGCATTTGATAATACTAAACACACAGACAGCACACACACTTACACCCACAACCCACACCCCACACCCTGCGCCCACTCGCTCTATAACATATAGAAATTGGTTTTTTTAGGTCGTGGGCTGGGCAGCAGCACCAGAAGCAGAAGAAGAAGAAGAGCAAGAGGAAAAGAGGAGGCACAAAGAAAACAAAGTCACTTCACCTGCAATCTGCAATTCGTAACGCCAACTATTTAAGTTGCCTTACGTGCTAACGGTGAACTCTCGATTACGTTACGAGAGTAATGTAATTTAAAATTTGAGGATTTATATGAGTATTTTTGATATTTTGGATTTTATATAATATTTTAAAATAATAATAAATAAATCACCATCTCTTATTTAAAAGATATTTATATAAAACCCAAATATATAATATTTTATGAAAGAAAAATTAAGAAAAATTAGAAAAAAAACTTACGGCATTTTCTAAATAATTTCCAATATCTTTATGATGTTCAAAACGAGAAAATAGTTAAATTACACATTAAATAAAATCCTTGGTTTTAAGCTAGATTATAATGTTCATTAATGTTTCTAGTTGAAAGTAAAATTTCTTATTATTTTATAAGAATTCGATTTATCTGCTAAAACCCTTTTTATTCAAGTAAAATCTGCACTTCAATTTGAAGCTATAAAACCCATCGAGTGCCCACTGTAAATCAGCGCCTTACGGCAAGTGTTTACGTTGGCTGGCTTACGTCTCTAAACCGGTGACGTTACAAGTTCCCGAAGACGAACTGCAAATATTATGATGAGAATATTTTTTCAAATCGATGCAGATATTTATTCCCCCTTAAGCCCCTTTTGGCTCCTGCCTGCAGTAATAATAATATTTTCGAAGGATGTTTTTTTGGGTGATGATGATGATGATTTACATGGCAGGTAGTATAGTATATAGGCATTTGAGAAAGTGCCACATCATTCTCATTTTCGTTGCACTTTTTCGTGCACTTTTCGATGGTGATTTTTACTGTGTGATTTTTTTTTGTTTTGTGCCAACTCATGTGGCAGCAATCGCGACGATTCAAGGCGCCGCCAGTGAAGGAAGAACAATTGAATCGGATTGCTAAGGTCCTCGAAGTCCTTTCGCCCAATTTTCTTTCTTTCTTCATTCTTTGTTTCCCCGTCTCGTTTCTTGGCCCGAACGGAACTTCAATTACACATTTGCTCACATGCGAAAAAGTGAAAAGTCACTGGCCTGTCATGGGCCAGAAAATCCACAGCCAAAATCAGAATCATCATCCAACCGACGGCATTCCTTCGGAGTTTCCAAAAACATATATATATATATTCCACCCTTCACTGCATATCTCTCGCCTTTTGGCCACTTTGAAATTTCTTTTTGGCCCGCCTTTTGATTGGAATTGTTGTTGGTGGTCGGTCCTTGGGCTAATGGCGCTGTGGCATTTTATACCCTTTTTCGCAGGCAATAAAAACATTTTCTTTTTTGCGCCATGAAATAATGAATAATATGAAGAAAAATACTTGGCCCCTGCCGGCCGACGTTATGTTGTGGAAACAGAAAACGCATTAAGTGCGCGGTTTTCCATTGTTTATAACATTTTCTTTCACCCCCGAGAGAACGAGGCAAAGGGATAATTAAGAATGCTTATTTATCTAGAACGCAGTCACGGCGCCGATTGTCCAGTTTCCAGTTTTCCCCAAACTCTTACCAAAAATTTTGACCGCAGGGGGGCAGAGAGAAAAAAAACCCCTCCCATGAAAAGGTTCGTAAAAAAGTCAGAAAAAAACTTTTATTTTTTATGATAAATTGTGGAGAATGGGGAGGCCAGGAGGAGGAGAGGAAGACGGCGCCATCCAAAGGTCATTCGGAAGCTTAGCGGAAAAAGGGAAAAACTGAGCAGAAGCAATGATTCGAACATAATGGAAATGATACACAATTTTAGAACTAAACATATACTGCTAAAACGTACTTTTTTCTGGGTTACATTTAAAACAGTTTTTTACAGAAACTATAAGATTATGATAGTAGAAAAATGTATAAAAATTGGTGTAGGGATAGTTAGAAAATTATAATTTAATCTAGATATTTTTATTACAAAAAATATACATATTACAAACATAGTAAAGAACAAGAACGAATTTTTATGAAAAAGATGGCTAAATCGATTCGGTGGTGATGTTGATCAAGTATTAAATGATTTATAGGATGCGAAATGACTTCTCCACGGCGTTTCAAGCTTCTGACTAAATTATAATACCTTTGGAATAAAAATATATTATAAATTATATTATAATTACAATCTAGTTCAGAACAAGAGGAATAAAATTATCTCTAAACTAGGCCAAGAACATGCATCCAAAGCATGATCTATATGAGAAATACAGAGGTAAAAACTTGAAAAGGTCACCTGTTCTTCAATCACGTTCAATCAACCGCCAAAGAGTTCAACCTTACTTCGGCTTCTGCCAAAGATTTTCTCCGCTAATTAGCCGGGGCCGAAAGTTGGCGAGTTGAAAATTACCCCACGAAAGAAGGCAACAAAAAATACAAAATAAAAAATATAAAACAAAAATGAACAAAAATCTTAAGGTAAGCTGAAAACTGGGGAATCGATGCCGGTGGGCAACGCACACGCAAATCACTTGTTTTTATGTAATTAACTGCCTGTGGGTTAACGGAGATTTGGTTTTGGGCCCAAGACGGGGTAATTAACCAAAAACCGATCGCTTCTTACGGCGGCAAGTTTCAGTTTTTTTTTTTTTGCCATAATTTCCTAGCTCCAAGAGTCTGTTTTGTAAAGTCGAAGACTTTTTTTTGGTGTTCAATGACCGATAAAATTGCCTCAACCATCGCGACCAACTCGACCGACTCCAAGCTGCCTTTTAGCGGGCTATTGATTATTAATATTTTGTATTTTTTCCCCTACATGTCTTTTTTGTTATTTTTCTTATTTTTACCATTTGCTGTAATTACAGCGACGCGTTAATTGTTTGAGGGCCCCCCTTTGCACTCGGTTTTCCCCTTTGTTTTCACAGGTTTCCACACAAACCCACATACATACATCCATCTATTTGTGTTTGTTTTCAGCGATGTTAGAAAAAAAATGTTGAGGCGAGGAATCCACACTTACGCGGCATCGCATTTGGGATTCCAGATACCAAAATCCCAACCAAGAGTTCAGGGTTCATTAGCTGCTATTACCATTATCTGCCACTGACTGAAATAAGTTGGCAATTACCGCCCATGAAATTTCCACAAAAAAAAAATGCCAAGAGATTCATTTATCAAAATCCAAAGAGGACACAAATTTTCTAAAACCAATTTCGAAATTCACGCATCGGTTTGTCAGTTTATAGAAATTTAAATGTTAACGCCTTTTGTAAGTCCGTTTTTTATTTGTAAGCCATTAAAGTTAGGTTTACGATCATTGGGAGAGATCGCAAATAAAGTTTGGAGTCATTAAAAACTTGATAAACAAATTTAATTTATGTAAAAAAGATCAGACACCGAAACGCTTGGTTATTTAAAAGCTTAAGCTTAAATCCTAAACAAAATTCTATTTTGGGTAGATTCAGTTTAATGTGGCTAAAACTGGTTAATATTAACGAGAAACTAGAGAGTTTTTATATGTTTATAAAATAAATTAAAAATTGAATTTATTTTATAAAATTTTTAACCTAAATTATTTTATTAATAATATTTTATTAAGCACATTAGTATTATCTTGATATTTTCTAAATATAAATCAAGATTAACCAATCCCTAAACATATTTAAGCGATTTAAAAATACCTCGACCTAAGTTCTTTCAAAAAAGGATATTCTAACTAAACTGATGATCCCATTAAAAATTCTTAAAAATAAACTAAATACTCCATTAAAGATTTCAATTTTTTTTTAGAATTTTAAACGAATTTTTTTTCAAAACTGAGGCTATTGTAAATATAGTAAATCCCTTATTTAAAATAAAACCTTATTAATAACTTACCTATCGTATTGTTGTCTCCTTATTTTTTTATTTAGCAAATCACTATTAAATCAGTGATGCTGTAGTCACGTTGTTAAAGTCACGGTCACAGTTTTATAATTTTATTTCAATCAATCAAATTTGAACACTTTTGAAACACTAAGGGTTATTATTCTAAGGATTTCGCTCCCTTTTTTCTATTTGTTTTGTGAGGGTTTTCTTTATTTTCTTAGATGTATGTATAAATGATGAGTATTCAATTTTCAGCACTTTTCTTAACTGGTTTAGCCGATTTTGAATTTAGTTTGGTTTTTCAACACTGCACAACATGAACTGCAATCAAGAACAACAACGATTGATAATGAGAAAAGGGCGAAAGCGAAAAGAAAACAACAACAACACCGACGCCAATTTCTTGGTTTCTTGGATTTTCCAAGAAGCGTGAAAGCAAAACGAAAAAAAACACCGAAGAAGCAATAGAGAAGCGCGATGCACTTTTTTTTGTGTTTTCTTTTATTTTCCGCTTGGGGGTTCGTTTTTTTTCGCAGCTCGTTTCGTGTTCTGGTTTTTCTGATTCTGATTGTGTGAATCTGGTTCTGAGCGAATTTCGTTTTTATTAATAAAATGCACAACTTCCGTTATTAATTTTGCAACGACAACAATTGCTGCATGCGAATGTCGCTTTATTTGCTTCTATGTGTCTGTGTTTGTGTTTGTGCGACAGCCGCTGACAGACGAAAGGACGGAGGGGGAAAAACAGCAAGAGCAACAATAACAACAAAGTGACAAGTGATGAGCGAAAAAGAAAAACAAAAAAAATATATGATGGGGGGCCAGTGTGTGTGGCGGCGTGGGCGGAGAAATTGGATCGAACGGTGACTTCTTGTCGCCCCCGCTTTGACAACCTGTCCGCTTTTCCCGTTAACCCGCCGCCGCCGCCACTCTCTTTCGCCCGACATTGCTCCTGTGCACGCGACTCGCTCTATCCCGCTCTTACGTTGCGGTTTTTTTTCGCTGCATTCATTCATAAAAATTCAGGTTGTAAAAAAAGAGCAAAAAGTCAAAAAGGCGCAGCGGATTTTATTTATTTATTTATGCCAATTTGCCGACGCTTTTGCTGTTATTGGATGCAGTTTTGTTGTTGTTTTCGTTAATTTTTCGAACAGAATTGTTACTAAGGTTTCTAAAAGTTGTTTCAAAATGTTTTTGTTTAATTTTCAATTAAATAATTTGTCTAGAAATTAATAACGGATGTTTTTAGCAATTTTTTATAGTATTTTCACAGTTTGTGTTGATTTTAACTAATTGTTTTCATTTAATTTTAAATAAACATAAAGTTTATGTATTTCTTGTAAAAACACAATAATTATAAGGTTTATTTGTAATTTCTTGTATTTGTGTACTTAATTTTTATATTGCATTTAATTTAATTGGTAGTTTTATGCATTTTTTTGTTAGTATTAAATTTTTAATTCGTTTTATAGTTCTCTTTTTCGTATATAAATATTGCTTTTATTTATCTATTAAATAGTTTCGGTTTTTTAGTTATTTATTATATACAGAAGTTCTGATTATTATTTAGTCATTTAATAATTCACGTTTTTCTTATTGTTTTTGTTTTTATTATTGTTTTTATTGCTGCGGTATTTTAGTGCTGTTCTTGCTTGCTTTATATTTATTTATTTCACTTATGCTTAAACACAATTAAGTCTCATAAAAGCAAAACAAAGTGTTAACAAAACACTGAAATAAGCCAAATTAGCCGCACTTGAACTACGACACTTGCTGCCCGTCTGATTTCTGAAATTGTTGTGTCTTTCGCCAGAAACTGAATCTTACTGCGAGTAATAAGAATTACGGATTCCTGTTTTCGTGGTACAAAAGCGTCGTTGCGCACCAAATTGTTCGATGGCCACACGTTCGATGTTCGCTCCGAACATGTTGCGTGCAAAGGGGTTTTTTTCCCGCACACAAACACACGCACACACGCCTACTATTATCTAAGCCACACAATCAGACTGTGTTTACTTTTTCAACTAGACGAAAAAAAGGGCAAGAGGAAGACGGAGAAGAATGCTCGCGAAGAACGAAGAAAGAGCAAGAGAGAGAGAAGAGAGCCGACCAATTGAATTGCAGAATTGCTGCCAAAAAGATTGGGGAGAAAAGGTAGCGGCAAAGAGTGAAGAACTTGAATTGATTTATCTGGTCTTAAATGCAAATAAATGAGATATTCTTTGATTAAAATAAGAGTGGTTTTAGTTTATGAAAAAAATATAACAAAAACGGTACAATTGTTACCTTTAATAAACCTATTTATATTTATATCATTTTGGAAATATTCTCCTCGTGTCATAATTTAATGTTGAGTACAAAATGTGATCAAAAGTGATATATTCCCATATAAAAATAAAAACTAATTTAATAAAACGTTATATTAATAACTAAATTAATTAAATAATATGAAATTATTAACATAATTCAAATATATAAAATTAAAATGTATTTCTTAATTTATGAATTGAACTACGAACAAGATTGAAGAAAAATATTCCATTCAATTTAAGTGTAAAATACAAAAAAATATAATAACAATAAATTAATAAGGTTTTAATTAAAACAACTTGTATATTATCTTACACAACATACGTATTTATTGCTGAAAAAAGCAAATAAAAAATAACTGTAGGAATACTTAAAAAATATACAAATAAAAATATTTCCTGTAGTTTTCTCTATTTTATTCACATTTACAATGTTAACTTTTACTTATTCAGTAATAATTTATTAACTGGATTTGGTTAGTTACTAAAGCCTGCTTCATGGAAATATCTAGTGAGTAATCGACACGGATTTAAATAAATCAAGTGCTCTCATTTGAAATTGTAATACAAATGACGCAGCAACAATATGTACTTAATTTGCGTAAATTCCACCCACAGATACTTAAAAGCGGATTTAAAAACAAATACTTCAATAAAGATATCGAAATCATTCCGGATTTGAAAAAGGTTCCAAGTTACTTTGTTTAGATAAATAGATATATAGATTACTTTGATAGAATAGGGGAAAATTAAATAGGACAGAAATATATTTTTAAATATTGAAATAATTATATTAAAATGGGTTATGGATTATAATCTCCATTCCTTGGTTATATTTTTATGCGTAATAAAAAGATCATAAAAAGCAAACATAAACAAAAATCCATTGTACCATGTTAAATTTAATTTAATTTAAATTTTAAATAATATACAACACCTAAAATTGTAGTTTACTTTCCCATTTATAATTTAAAAACCAGAAACTTCTTCGTATTTATATAGATATATGTATGTACATATATCCAAATGATATATAACACTGCCACCGCACTATAATCTCGCCCTGTCCCCGATTTTCCTGCAGGAAGTCATTAAGCTGCCTGAGTCTGGAATAAATAAAGTTTTCCTCCCACTTTTTGGTTTGGTGCTTTTCTAGGGGAAAGCTATAAGGTGGGCAATAGGCACCCCAATGTGACTTTATTAAACGCGACAAAAACAAAATAAATTTACGTGTAAAAACACTTCAAATAGGAAAACATCGAAAAAGAAGAAGATGCAACGATCCGTGGATGCAGCATGGATCTATCTATGTGGCATGCGGTGGCTAATGTATCTAATAGATACAAGACAGCATGTCAAATGCATCCACTGGAGCGGCATGAAGTTCAACTGAATGGGAGTATCTTATAGGAGGGGAATACTGTTGAATAGTACTGAGATCATTGGAAGGTATATTAAGTTTATAGAACTGGGAGAAATAATTATTATATTACAAATAAAATATTAAATATAATAAGAGATGGGGAAATAAATATTCTAATATTAATTATATTTAATGAATAAATATATTAATAGAAACAGAAAGAAAATAAAGTATACGATAGCTAAATAAATCAGAAACCAACGATTTATAATCTTTAAATTATAGTCAGGGTTATCAAGATATCTTTATAATATTTCTCTAGTTTTTTGTGATAATTTCTCTACATTCTTCTCAGTGAAGATTCTTTCAATTCTTCGCTCCAATTTTCTCAGTCTTCCCCTTGTGCTTTCGTGCTTCTCTAATTAACATTGGGATTGTAGTACACATTTTAATTTATATCTTATTGATGCCGGCGACATTTGTATTTATTTTTACCCACAGCCCCCGCTCACTACGATATATATTTATACATATACATATATCTGTATATATATATATATGGATAGGTACTGTTAGAAATTCACTTCCCCAAATCTATTTCCTCCGCCCTACACCCCCTCCTCTTGGAATGTTATTTATATCGAGAGTGAAACGTTGGAACAAAAATTGTGGAAAGCTAAAATTTATATGGAATAGGTGTCGCGTCTTGATATTTTTGGTATAATTATTGTTAATATTTGTTGCTCACATCGCATCCCCCCTTGCCCCCTACCCATCGTCTCTTTTTTTTCTCATTTGTTGAATATTTCCTTTGTTGTTGCTGCTTTTTATCTACACTCTAATTAAAATATTCGGTTGTTTGCGCTTGATTTTTGTTCATTATATACATATGTATAAATATGTACACATATATTTTAATGCCACGATCTGTCTAAATGATTTTTGTACGCATTTCAATAGTATAAAGAAATTGCTATGAAGAAATATAACAACAAAAAATCAAATATAATAAGAACAACAACAATTAAATTCGTGGGTGGTTCAAGTTTATTTTTAATAGAAGAGAATCAGTATTTTTCAGGTTGTTTTTAATGGTTTCTGTTTATGACAATGTGTGATTTTAATAATATTTCGAATGGGTTCCTCCTCGTGATGTTCCATTGCTTAATATTTGTTTTAGGTGTCTGGATTTTGTTTGATAAATGTCAGTGAAGCGGATGATATTTAAGTATTTTTATATTATGAATATTAGATTTAAATACATATTTCTTAGATACTCAAATAAAAATATTTTCAATATTTGTTTCATAGTTGTAGCGAAATGTAAACTATTCATTTATTTCTAAATAAAGAAAGGGACATAGCAAATTTGAAAAGCCGAAGAAATTGGAAATTAGTATCGATTTGGAAATCGATAATAAATAAGCTTAAATTATTAACATTTTAAAATCGATATTTTTATATGACTAATCTTTTAATAATCAAATATTAAAACCTCATAACTCAGCCAAAATAGCATTTATTTTAATTCGGAAAACTCTTCTATGCTAGTTTTTATAAGGTTAATAATTCAGCATACGCAGATTTTAAATTTAAAAATATTAAAATTTTGACGATGTAATCCCTTATTTTTTTTTAAAAAAAAATTTTTTTTTCTGCCGGACATTGCTAAATCGACTCGGCTCTTGATGCTGATCAAGAATATATATGATTTATAGGGTTTAAAATTATTCCTTCAGTACGTTTTAGTCTTATAATTAAATATCCAATAAAACCTCTTTCACAGGTTAAACCTAAACATAGTTTTGTTTCAAATCAAAGACTAATCCCCAATTTATAATTATGTTTAGATGTCTTAATAAATCCGAGCATCGATCAAGTTTTAAAATCTCAATTTTCCCCTAATGGAGTCATCCAGGTTACGTACTCAAAGCCTAATAGGGAAATATATCTCAGTATATATCTTATAGAACACACGGGGCAAATGACATTTCATTTATCTTACAGCTCGTGCAGCAATTTCAAGCGGGTTTTCCTAGTTTTTCCTTGTACTTTTTTCCGTAAGGGGAAATCATTTGCGTTGGCGACCAGCATTCGATGTCATCGATGAGTTATTGACACCCGATTTGGGCATAAAGCTCTCAGTTCCGGTGATCTTCGGCTGAGTTATCAATGTGAAAAATAGAAACATGATTATGAAATATCAAAAGAAAAGCCACGATGTGTACGTGAAAAGTTTTGTGGGGGAAAAAAACCTGAAAAACATCTGAAAGAGAGGCATTATAAATGAGATCTTCGGATGGGTGGCGCTTTCGTTTTGCTTGAAATTACCCCACGGCCTTAGATTGGATAGATGGAAATTTCGTAGAGCCAACGGCAGCGTAATTAAATTCAAACACAACTAAAAGTAGAAATAGTAGGGGGAATGCTAACGAGAGATAAAATACCCTGGAAAAAATATTGAGATTTAAATGTATCAAGAAAAAGCGAAAGAAAGGGAACCCCAATAGTGTTATGGTTGAATTTTGAAAGTTATTTCGGAAAAGTAAAATTTGTTGTTATAAAAATATAAAATTTAACATTTGCCTATTGTATTTTTAAAAGGTTGGAAATGCTTATAGTTAGATCATAGAAAATATAAAGAATATTATTTATGTCAAAAGTGAAATATCTCTTTCTATAAAGATATTGTTGAGATGTTTTTCTTATAGACTACACATACTGATTCAAATTTATTACTAATAGAAATATCAAATCTTTATTTATTTTTCCCTGAGGAATTTAAAAGAAAACATTAGTATATGTTTTAAAATAATTTATATCGGTGTAGCTAGACTAGATTCTAATATTTTTCTTTTAAAAATTTAATAATATTTTTTTTGTGCTTATCTTACATTTAAAATATTGTATTAAACTACAGTATAGTAGATTCCATGTACCATTTGTAATGGTAATTGTACTGTAGCATCCAGTTCATCTTCCAGCAACCGCCAACGCACACACACACGCGATCTGGCCTCTCTTTCTTCTCCCTCATGCTAACCTTTTCTAGCGAACGTGTGTGGACAATAGAAATGATGGAGGTAAATATGACTGTACATACATATACATAGGTATGTATGTACATATATATAAACATAT